AAAGGACAATTTGGCGGCACAGTATCATCCAACCCGAACGGTGGTCTAGATGTAACTGCTCGATTAAGTAAAACTATTGGCGACCCTAATGCCAATCTGGTTGGCGGTGTATTCGCAGCTGGTAATACTGATGGAGGTCCAGCAACTAGAGGAGCTTTCTTGGGAGCCAATAAGTAATAGTAGTTAGGCTTATTATAAACTCAACCTTAATGTTATTAATATTTTTATTATAGAGATGGTCATGGTCTCTCCTTGCAACATTCGAGAACAGATAATTTTGGTTCCTCTTTGACATCAAGTGCTCATGCCAACCTCTTCAACGACAAAACTCACAAATTAGATGCGAATGCTTTTCACAGTCGCACCCATTTGGATAATGGTTTTAAATTCGATCGTGTTGGTGGAGGCTTAGGTTACGATCATGTGAACGGTCATGGCGCCTCGCTAACTGCTTCCCGTATACCTCAGCTCGATATGAATACTCTTGGCTTAACTGGTAAAGCTAACTTATGGTCATCGCCGAGTCGGGCAACCACTTTGGATTTGACGGGAGGAGTTTCAAAACATTTTGGCGGTCCGTTTGATGGTCAAACTAATAAACAGATTGGGTTGGGTTTAAATTCTAGATTTTAAGCTTTGTATTTCGAATTAAATGTATTTAGAATAGAATGGAAAATAAAAAAAGAACGAAAGAAAGGCATTTCAAAGTTATTCGGTCATATTTTGGGATGTGAAATACGGAACAGTTAAATAGCTTTTTCGACCACTTCCCATACAACGCCTTATTTTGAGAGGTCTTTATATAAATAACTATGGGGGGGGTGGTATTTAATAGCAGTCCGTGGTCGGCTATAGTGTTACTCTAAAACGTACAGGACGCGCGTTACGCGCTAAATACATTCAACGGCGCTTAACTTTGGCGGACTTTTTCAGATAGATGTCAATAATGGAAAAGTACTTGATTCCATTTTCATTACACGTGTGCTCGAACCTAATCTTAACATCTCAGTCTACTGCTGCACCCCGCCATATAGAACAGAGGAAAATAGGCAAATCCCAACTGTTTTATATTATAATACGCTTTGCGGGATGTCTTAAAGCAGACGGACCGAAACTTACCTTCCACGAGTTACTGGAATAAATAGTAATTGAGTACAACTTTATTATCCGTTGCAGGACAAAAAACCAATAGAAGTGCACGGATGCATCCCCAATATCGATGCCAAAGACATCGAAAAGTGAAGAATACGCAATATGGAAAAATAGAAGAAGAAAAGAAAGACCACGTAAAATACCATGTGGAAAGAAAAACTAAAATAGAACATCACTCACTAGAGTACGAATTTTAATACAAAGCACAATAAACGAATAGAGTCAAAATTGACTTTCGATACCGCAAAGAAACAGTCAAAGAAGGCCAGGAGACAACTATCATAGCAGAATCAAGAAAAGCTGCACATAGAAGTAATATAAAAAAGTAAATTGAAATCCAGCAGTAAAATGGGGAAATGAAGGAATGATCTTCAGTATTCAATACAAGCTAAAAATTTTTTAGAAAATTTGAAAGATATAAATCATGCCGTCTTATAAATGTACCTCGGGTAAAAATTATAAATAACTCCATTTCAATCGTCAACACTAGAACTACGAACTACCTCATTTTGATCCATTCCAATATATGAGGTTCAAATAAATATTTATAAAACACGTTATGTTCCAAAATCGTTTGGTGACTTTCATTTATATAAAAACACCTTTAAACACCTCTAACTATTTTTTTCTTAGTTGGTCGTATTCTCGTTATGCCGATGACATATACCTATTTCTACAAAAAGGGATAATTTTGATCCCCCCGTTATTGTCGGCTTGCTACAGTCGTGGATGGGAACACGGAGGTCTGAAATTTGGCATAGGGATTTCTTGATCGATTAAGAATTTAAAACTGAAGACTGGGCGTAATGTGTTAATGTGCACGTCCGCAATATGAAAGAATCTGAAACAACCTCGAAAAGGGCATAGATCTCCTTTATATCTCTATCTGTAACTTTACCGTGAAGATATTTCTCAAGATCTACGACCTAAATATTCGTTAGAAAATACCCCCGATCGAGCTATCGAGACGGCGACAATTTGTGCTAAAATTTTAATTCAATTTATCTCTAATTTATTTCCCTTTTAATCTAATATACATTATCATTTTTGCCAAGCAATTGCAAATAAATTGAAAATAAATTGGACTTGATTGAGACGATTTCTAGACAAACGTGCAGGTGCATTTGGCCACCATTTAAGTAACAGATTTTCCGAAATGTCTTCTCAGGATCGAAAGTTATTGAAGAAAATATGCAAAAACGTCACCAGTCGGACTCGGAGTGTTAATATTATTAGTGGGAGCGAGTACAAAAATAAATGTAAGTCTGCGTATTGGCAAAAGGCAAGTGCTTAATGATGTCATAGATTCAAGTTGCATCTCAAACCTGCTCACTAATCGAAAAGCAAGCTGTAATGCTCTAAATAGCTAGCATTGCTGATTATTAATGAATGAAGACATTTCTATCTTCCGATATTATTTTATTGAATGGTATTAGGGGCAGTCTCGATATGAAAGGGAAACAATATTTAATGGAACCTTTTACATAAAATTCAACAACGTCACGATTCATATCAACAGACCACGTGTGTGTCCAGATAAATAGCCACTTACATAACGCTACCTTCCATATTTCAAATAATGACTGAGAAAAGTGAACGCAAGCGATTTCTGTCTCTACAAATCCTGCAGGAACTATAAATGAGCAATACCACTCTATACAATATTTAAAGACCGATTAATATTCTAGTTAGTGTTTTATAATTGGGATTATAATAGCAATCTTAACTCTAGTACGGATAAAGAGACGCAACGATGCTGAGACGATAGTAAATAGTCCGATAATAGAACAAGTTCGACCTGAAAACGTTCTCTTAAGAAATATGAGACGAAAGATTCCAGAAACCCCTTTTAAGCGTAGTGATATTCCACATTTTAAAGGAATTGACGACAGTCTTCTCTTGCTGTTAATAAAACCATCTAAACCCAAGATTTAGCAACTAAATGTGGAATAATGTGTGAATTGCTTTAAAAAAAAATATTAAATTAAAGATCTTGAAATGATTGTGTTTGATTTTATTTAACTTACATTCTTTAAACAAATTTCAACGTACGTTCAAAGGTTCCATTAAATTGTGAGAGAAACCAAAGAAGAAA